CTTTCCATCACCCCGCCCCATTCTCCCGCTTTCCATCACCCCGCCCCATTCTCTTACTTTCCATGCGCCCGTCGAGTCGCAGCGCCGGCGCGACGGAGTGCGTTGCAGATCATTCGCATCCCGTTGATCATCGCCGGCGGCGTGCTGTTCGCCGTGGCTCTCGCCGGGTTCATTGGCGCAGTCAACGATATCGCATGGCTGCTCTTCATTTACCTCGCTGCAGTCTTCATCGCTATTGTGGTGCTCCTTGGATTCACCGGTACGACTGTAGTACACCCGAAGCTCTGTTATACTCTTTTGCCCAACTTCGCTACTTACTCGTTTGACCTTAACTTTTTAAGCTCTGCTGCGCACCCATCCATTTCGCAAACGAAATACATGTCACATACCGTTCCCTTCACCCTTACTCACGCTCCTCCAACCCCATAACATCCGGCGTCGTCACGCGGCAGCGTTCGCGTTCATCGTGACAAACCAGGCGGCGGCGGACGCGGTGTCGAACAAGGCCGTGGGATCGTGGAATACGACAGATTTCTCCACGTGGTTACAGAACCAAGTCACGGAGCAGTCCAAGTGGGCGCCCATCCAGGCGTGCCTCGCGGCGGGCAACACGTGCGGCGTGCTCAGCCAGACAAACACGATCGCATCCTCCGCGCTCTCCCCTATTCAGGTGCCACAGATGAGCTCGCCATCGCTATCGTCGCTGCTTCATGATGGTCGGTCAGTCTTCTGTCGTAGAACCCACATCACAAGACGAGCCCTCATTCTTTTCTTTCTCTCTCCTCCCTTGGTCTTCCACCGGACCTCCCACACCCACCCTCCTCCCAGGCCGGTTGCTGCTATCCCCCCCAGTCCTGCCCCTCCGCACCCCTCTCCGCGACCTCGCGCGCAGCCCTCCCGACCAACACCTCGGCTGCTAATGCCACCGCAGCCGCCACTGCCGCGCTCGCGTCCGCAGTCAACTCCACGATTTCAACCGGCAGTGTCACCGGCGGACTGCCTGGTGTACGGCAGCGAGCCCACAAAGCTGTGCTAGGGTGCGAGACGTGCAAGGCGGCCTTCCTCAAGATGCTGCGCGACCAGTGTCGCATGGTGGCGTTTGTGTGCCTGGGGTGTCGCTGCTGCTGCTCGTTGTGTGCATCGTTGGCTGCTGTGCGTACCGCAGCGCCAAGAGGCGGGAAGGGTTCATTGGGAAGGTTTGATGCAGGCAGGTGGAAGGCAGCACGTGTAGTGCAGTGTGGTGTGCTGTGGTGTGGTGTGGTGTGTGTTAGTCCAAGGGGCAGAGTTTAGGGAGAGATGCGAGGGGGAAAGGGGCAGCAGTAGAAGATAAGAACTGGAAGGCATTGTTTCCCTGCACAGGGGTAGAGGTTCCCAATAATGTGCCTGCCTGGGCTTAGCAGGGTGAGAAGCCCTGCTTTTAGAGGCACTGCCTCAGTGCCTCCAATAAATGGTCCTTGTACAAGTTAAAAGTTCATCAGCACAGAGCGATACAGATTCAGGCTTTCAAGGGCCCTCAGGCTTTCAGCCTACTGTAGTTAAAGGCTCCATAATTTCTACGTGAAGTGCCTCAAAGAGGAAACACACTCTGCACCTCAGAAACGTGTAGAACTTCTATCACAGGCAATAAGTCCCACCCACTTCTACGAGCTACAGCTCTCCCACAGAGGGGCTATCACCACACAGAGCACCAGTCAGGCGGCACTCCTGACTTGCCTCTCTCCCCACCCCAGGCCGCACTCCACCCCCTTCCAACCATCTCCACCCACTCACTCCACTCCCCCCGGGCATGGTCACTGAGCCCAAGCAGCCAGCTTGGCATCGCACTCGCGCAAGTTAGCCTGCTCCAGAACGCTCTCTTGAACCACTCACTCCACCCCACCCAACCAACCTCCACCCATCTCCACCCACTCACTCCACTCCCCCCGGCCGTGGTCTTCGGGCCTGTGCGGCCAGCTTGGCGTCGCGCTCGCGCTCGTACTCGCGCAGGTCAGCTGCCCCAGAAACGCCCTCTTCTCCGTGTACGTGGCGCCACTCCTGCGATACTCCTCCAACTCCTCTGCCACACCCGCGCCCTCCTTGTACTCGCTCCAGTCCTGTGGAATGGGGGAGAGGTGGAGAAGGGAGAAGAGGGGAGGCAGGTGGGATGGAGGTTGGAGGGAGTGAGATAAGAAAGGCCACTTCTTCCCCAGTACTCCTCCATCTCCTCCACCACACCCACGCCCTCCTTGTTCTCGCTCCAGTCCTGTGCGATGGAGGGGTTGAGAGAGGGAGATGGGGTGGGAGGGGAAGACCTTTGCTCCTGTGCTCCTCCTATACTCCTCCAACTCCTCTACAACATCTGTGCCCTCCTTGTTCTCGCTCCAGTCCTGGCAGATAAGGGAGGCAAGATAAGGGGGGTTGGGAGATGGAATGAGAGAGTGAAGGGCGCCACTCCTCCGAAACTCCTCCAACTCCTCCACCACACCACGCCCTCTCCTTGTGCTCGCTCCAAACCTGACAGATGTGGGGGGTGAGAGAACGTCAAGGGGAATAGGACGGGTGCAGCAAACGAGGGAATGGCGCTGCCACACTTGTGCAACCACACCATGTGTAATCAGTGACTGCAGCCCTCTACAGCTGCCATTCACCCTCACCGCTCCCATATACCTGCTCTTCCTCCCGTCCGACCCTGTCCCCCCGCTACCATCCTCCCTCCCTCTCCCCTTGGCTGGCGTGGAATGCACCCTTGGATAAGACACGGAATGTTGTGGCCCAGCCCCTTGGATGTGCACGCACCTTGCGTGACTTGTCGAGGATGTTGAGCTTCTTCTTCTTCTCCATCTGCGCCAATATGGCGTCCAGCCCCTTCGATGTGGACGCCTGCCAGCCACGCGGAGGGTGAGGGCGGTGGAGGGGAGGGAGGATGTGAGAGGAGCAGGTGGGGCACAGGAGGGGAAGGTAGGGTGAGGAGGGAAGCGGTTGGGGAATGGAGAGGTGAGATAGAGGGGGTTATGGAGACGTGGCATGGAGCAACACAAGGAGTGAACCCATGGGTGCACGCGTGAAGGGAGGCCAAGATGAGGAGTGAACCCATGGGTGCATGCTGGATGCATGCAGGCTCACTGGCCTCTCTCTCACCTGCATGTCCGCCTTGCGCTTGGCAGCAGCAGCCTCTTTAGAGCGCGCGTCCAGCACCCTCACCACCTCCACTGCCTCCCCTGCGAAGTCCACCACCTCCCGCACCTGCAGCACGTTTTATGGCATGCGGAGAGGGGCGCAGTGCGCAGGGGGAGGGAGCAGCAAGATGGTGAACAGAATGAATGAACAATCCGGGGAGGTGTGAGCGAGCTGCAAGGCACAGGCTCACAACAGCCTGAGGGGCAGAGCTAGCATGTATCATGACAAAGCTGCCACGCCTCCCAGCCCCCCTGCACTGCACGCACCTGCACTTTGGAGTCGTCCACCACTGCTCCACCCGCTGCTGCCTGTGTCGCTCTCAACGCCGCCGCTGCTGCCGCCGCCCGCTCCGCACCTGCTGCAGCAGCTGCGGTGGCATTTTCCCTTGCCGCGTCCCCCTCCTTGTTCCCCTCCTCACTCCTTCGGTCATCCCCCTCGTCCCCGTCCACCTCCATATTCCCGCCCTCCCGCGCCCCACCGTCCACCCAACCCTCTCCCTGCCCCGGCCCTCCTCCCTCTGCGCTCCCCAACGCCCCTTCCGCCTTCCCTGTCGTCTCTCCGCCGCTCCTCTCCCCCCGCGCGTCGCTGGTAGCGGGTGGGCGGGGCTTCAGGCCGAGGTCCCACACCCACGACTGGGGGGGAAGAGAGGGGGGGACGGGGGGGTGTTTGTTGAGGGCACGATGGGGGGGTGAGGAGTGTTAGGAGGCGAAGTGAGGGGGACACCGATGAGCCAGATGCACCTAATTCATGGCGGATATGGCGGTGGCCATGGGCACTGCAAATCGCCGCATCCCACATAATCTCGCGCGCGCCACTCACAGGGACGGCTTTCTTCGCCGCGCTGCCGCCGCTCGCTGTCTGCGCGGCCCCCGCTGCCGCAGCCGCTGCGTCAGAATCAGCTCCACGCGCGCGTCGCGCAGCTTCACCGTCTCGCCCAGATTTCCCGCCGTCGCTTGCGCCGCATGATCCGCGGATCTTGCGGCTGCACCGTCTAAAGCGGCGGAGTGGGGGGCGGCGGAGAGTCTGCTTCCCGCCATGGCTGCGGGCGCGGTGGCGGCCTTGAGGCGCTGCCACGCCGCGTCGACCGCTGACATTGCGCGGTCGCGCAGGGGGGGGGGACACGAGGATGGCTGCGGAAGGGTTAGGTTGGGTTGGGTACGGCGACAGGGATGGAGCTGCAAATCCTGCGCTCCAACAGACAATAACTGGAAGAATGCCTCTGGGAGTGTGTGGTCTCACATCCAAATACTGAAAACGGGAGGATTTTCGAGGGTGATAGTACTGAGCCCCAGAAAGTGCCAATAAGGGGTACAGCTGCATGTATTGTATTTGCGATAGAGTTACTTGTTGTTTGGACATTCGCAGTCGCGAGCAGCAGCCCCGCTTTCTCATTTGAACATTCGAGTTTGCGAACACTGGTGCCCAACCAGTAGGCCCATCACGGAAGCAGCAACGAGTTTCAACACTGCGATTTCTGAGACAGCTGATTCCAAAACAGGCACATGCTCGAGTCGCCTCCACAAATAGACTTGTCACCATTTAGGTAGCTGTTACCCCGCGTTATACTCCTACTTCGTTCTCGCCCGCGGACCTCTCGTCCGACCCCATTCGCCCATGTCGCCCGCGCCCCTCTCGTCGGAACTTCTCCTCGCCGCCCTAGCGGGAACCGCGGTCGGAGCCGCCGTTGCTGCCACCGCATTTTCCGCCACGTGCTTCGCGTTCTCCCGAGCATCCGCCACCTCCGCGAGCACGTCTCCGCCTGACCCCGCGCGATGTCGTTGCGCCAAGTCCGCGCAGTGTGCGCAGCAGCGCGCTGATGGGCTAGCGCAGTGCAGCAATTGCGGTGATTCCTGCGCTGCATGCGATCACCCGCGGAGCGATTGCGCCATTGGCGGAAAGCAGGGCGGAGATACGCCAGCCGCGGAACCGGTAGAGTTGCGGAAAGGGGAAGGCCACGCGCAACACGCGAACGGAGAGCAGCGGGAAAGAGACGTGGCCCGCGAATGGCGATCACTCGGTGCGGCACGGCGGGAGGGTGCGCGGAGGTTGGGCGGGCGGCGGAGAGAGAAGGCGGGGAAGGGGAGGGGAGTGAGGGGACAGACGGAGGATTGGGGGAGGAAGGAACGGGGGAAGCAGCATGGGAAGAAGAACGATCCTTATGATACGACGAAGAGGAACGGGTAAGCGGGCAGGGCGTGGCTCGAATCACGCGTGCCAGGCTTTGACTTTGATTGGTGAATGCGATGGCGATTGAGATGTGCGGAGGTGCGTAGTGGTGCGGGTTGGTACGTGGTGGTGTGTAATGGTGGTGATGTACCTCCAGCCCATGCACCGTGCTTAAAATAAAGAAATCATTCAGAGTCAATGCGACGTTGCAATTGTGGCGTTTGCTGCCCCCTCCTGCATCGTGGCATGTAATGGCATTCATGGCATGGCATGGCATGGCATGGCATGGCAGGTTCCTGTCATGGGATGATTACTTCATGGCTGTGGCATTCCTCTCTGCTCAACGATCCAAGGACCCCAACAGACAGGTGATTTCAACACACAGGTGATTCTATCAGAAAGGTAATTCCAACAACGAGCAGGTGATTCCAGCAGACAGGTAATTACACCAGACAAGGTCATTCAACTGGATAAGTAAGTTGAAGAACTATCTGTGCATCCGGCCTCACAGTACATGTCGTTTGAGTCGACTCAAAAGTCATCTCACAGTGCATGTGGTTTGAGTCGACTCAAAATTCATCTCACAGTGCATGTGGTTTGAGTCGACTCAAAAGTCATCTCACAGTGGAAGTGTGCATGGCTGCATTGCATTGCCCATACATGCTTGCAGGTTGGAGCATGCATTGTCGGCAGCGACCATGTCATTCTGGGTGAGAGCACCACACAGAAGCTCATTTCACTTCAACACCACACGCTCGCTCACATTGGTCTCACTGCCTATTCTCCCATTCCAGCCTCCAACACACGTAACGCTGGCAATTCGTCTTTGTTTGCAACTTCTGTTATTCGTCTCTGTTTGCAACTTCGTCGTTCCTCTCCCTTCCTACTTCCAGCGCACTTCACGCTTTCAAATCGTTCCTCTCCCTTCCTATTTCTCTAAAGTTGCAACTTTACTCCTCCCCTCTCCCACCTCCCCCTCGCACCCGCCGCACGCCCACCTTTCTCTCTTGCATTCCTCTCCCACGGGCAGGTATTGGATACAACGGCTTTCCCCGGGGCATCTCAGATGACCTTCTGCCCTGGGCCAAGGTGGGGCACGGTGGGGCACGGTGGGGCATGGTGGGGCATGGTGGGCTGTGGGCCGATTAGGAGATTATCATCTCATGCTTTTGATTGTCATGATCAGATCTGGTCAGGCTCACTCCTGTGTCACCCTGTCTCTATCTCTCATCTCCATCCTTCTGTCTGTGCCTCTCTCTCTCTCTCTCTCTCTCTCTCTCTCTCTCTCTCTCTCTCTCTCTCTCTCTCTCTCTCTCTCTCTCTCTCTCTCTCTCTCTCTCCTCTCCTGCACGTGCAGCTCTCACCACACAACGACCCGCTCGAGACCAAGTACCCGTGAGTGCTTGCTCTCTGCCTCTCACAGTATTCATAACTTCTTTCGTTCGTTCAAAACACGCGCCTCGCACTACCCTCTGCACGCCTCTCCTCGTTCCCATCCACTTGCTCTTTATCCGTCCCCCTCATCCGCCCTTCCCTCTATCCACCCATCCCTCATACCCTCCTTCGCCAATCCCCCCATCCCCCATGGATGTCCCCCGTGTGTCAAGTGGAGCCCAATGTGGTGCTCAACAGAAACCATGCCACCACTCCCTCTTCCAATGCACTCCCTCTTCCAATGCACTCCCTCTTCCAATGCACTTGCTCGTTATTCCTCCTCCACATTTTTCCATCCTTCCATATCCCCATGCCCCTATCCCCCATACATGCGTGCCACCAGCTATGTGTGCCATGCGGAGGTCAACGCGGTGCTCAACAGAAACCACGCGTCCGCGCTTGATCAGGTGCGCCTGTCACCTGAACCCCCCACCTGATCAGGTGCGCCTGCCACCTGAACCCCCCACCTGACCAGGTGCGCCTGCCACCTGAACCCCCCACCTGACCAGGTGCGCCTGCCACCTGAACCCCCCACCTGACCAGGTGCGCCTGCCACCTGAACCCCCCACCTGACCAGGTGCGCCTCCCACGTGACCCCCCACCTGACCAGGTGCGTTTGCTGCTCTCCACCAGGTGTGTCCCCCTTTTTCCAGTCCAGCATGTGCCGTGTCAGCTGGGGGACTGTCCTTCTCATGCTCCCTGCCATGCCTCAGATCCCCTCTGTCTGTGCCTCTCCTTTCCATGTATGCATGGCATGGCATGGCATGGCAGCGCCTCTACGTGACAATGTTCCCATGCAACGACTGCGCGAAAGTCATCATCCAGGTCTGTCCCTCTCCCTGCACCTCCATGTGCCTCCATGGCGTGTGAGCGTGCGGTGCAGCGTATGAGCGGGCAGTGCAGCGTATGAGCGTGCGGTGCAGCGTATGAGCGGGCGGTGCAGCGTATGAGCGGGCGGTGCAGCGTATGAAAGGGCGGTGCAGCGTATGAGCGGGCGGTGCAGCGTATGAGCGGGCGGTGCAGCGTATGAAAGGGGTGCAGCGTATGAGCGGGCGGTGCAGCGTATGAGCGGGCGGTGCAGCGTATGAGCGGGCGGTGCAGCGTATGAGCGGGCGGTGCAGCGTATGAGCGGGCGGTGCAGCGTATGAGCGGGCGGTGCAGCGTATGAGCGGGCGGTGCAGCGTATGAAAGGGCGGTGCAGCGTATGAGCGGGCGCGTATGAGCGTGCGGTGCAGCGTATGAGCGTGCGGTGCAGCGTATGAGCGGGCGGTGCAGCGTATGAGCGGGCGGTGCAGCGTATGAGCGTGCAGTGGAGCGTATGAGCGGGCGGTGCAGCGTATGAGCGGGCGGTGCAGCGTATGAGCGTGCAGTGGAGCGTATGAGCGGGCGGTGCAGCGTATGAGCGGGCGGTGCAGCGTATGAGCGGGCGGTGCAGCGTATGAAAGGGGTGCAGCGTATGAGCGGGCGGTGCAGCGTATGAGCGGGCGGTGCAGCGTATGAGCGGGCGGTGCAGCGTATGAAAGGGCGGTGCAGCGTATGAGCGGGCGGTGCAGCGTATGAGCGGGCGGTGCAGCGTATGAGCGGGCGGTGCAGCGTATGAGCGTGCAGTGGAGCGTATGAGCGGGCGGTGCAGCGTATGAGCGGGCGGTGCAGCGTATGAGCGTGCAGTGGAGCGTATGAGCGGGCGGTGCAGCGTATGAGCGGGCGGTGCAGCGTATGAGCGGGCGGTGCAGCGTATTTTGGCGGTGCAGCGTAAGAGCGGGCGGTGCAGCGTATGAGCGGGCGGTGCAGCGTATGAAAGGGCGGTGCAGCGTATGAGCGGGCGGTGCAGCGTATGAGCGGGCGGTGCAGCGTATGAGCGGGCGGTGCAGCGTATGAAAGGGGTGCAGCGTATGAGCGGGCGGTGCAGCGTATGAGCGGGCGGTGCAGCGTATGAGCGGGCGGTGCAGCGTATGAAAGGGCGGTGCAGCGTATGAGCGGGCGGTGCAGCGTATGAAAGGGCGGTGCAGCGTATGAGCGGGCGGTGCAGCGTATGAAAGGGCGGTGCAGCGTATGAGCGGGCGGTGCAGCGTATGAAAGGGCGGTGCAGCGTATGAGCGGGCGGTGCAGCGTATGAAAGGGCGGTGCAGCGTATGAGCGGGCGGTGCAGCGTATGAAAGGGCGGTGCAGCGTATGAGCGGGCGGTGCAGCGTATGAAAGGGCGGTGCAGCGTATGAGCGGGCGGTGCAGCGTATGAGCGGGCGGTGCAGCGTATGAGCGGGCGGTGCAGCGTATGAGCGGGCGGTGCAGCGTATGAGCGGGCGGTGCAGCGTATGAAAGGGGTGCAGCGTATGAGCGGGCGGTGCAGCGTATGAGCGGGCGGTGCAGCGTATGAGCGGGCGGTGCAGCGTATGAAAGGGCGGTGCAGCGTATGAGCGGGCGGTGCAGCGTATGAGCGGGCGGTGCAGCGTATGAGCGGGCGGTGCAGCGTATGAGCGGGCGGTGCAGCGTATGAGCGTGCAGTGGAGCGTATGAGCGGGCGGTGCAGCGTATGAGCGGGCGGTGCAGCGTATGAGCGTGCAGTGGAGCGTATGAGGCGGGCGGTGCAGCGTATGAGCGGGCGGTGCAGCGTATGAAAGGGCGGTGCAGCGTATGAGCGGGCGGTGCAGCGTATGAAAGGGCGGTGCAGCGTATGAGCGGGCGGTGCAGCGTATGGAAGGGCGGTGCAGCGTATGAGCGGGCGGTGCAGCGTATGAAAGGGCGGTGCAGCGTATGAGCGGGCGGTGCAGCGTATGAGCGGGCGGTGCAGCGTATGAAAGGGGTGCAGCGTATGAGCGGGCGGTGCAGCGTATGAGCGGGCGGTGCAGCGTATGAAAGGGCGGTGCAGCGTATGAGCGGGCGGTGCAGCGTATGAGCGGGCGGTGCAGCGTATGAGCGGGCGGTGCAGCGTATGAAAGGGGTGCAGCGTATGAGCGGGCGGTGCAGCGTATGAGCGGGCGGTGCAGCGTATGAGCGGGCGGTGCAGCGTATGAAAGGGCGGTGCAGCGTATGAGCGGGCGGTGCAGCGTATGAGCGGGCGGTGCAGCGTAATTGGGCGGTGCAGCGTAAGAGCGGGCGGTGCAGCGTATGAGCGGGCGGTGCAGCGTATGAAAGGGCGGTGCAGCGTATGAGCGGGCGGTGCAGCGTATGAGCGGGCGGTGCAGCGTATGAGCGGGCGGTGCAGCGTATGAAAGGGGTGCAGCGTATGAGCGGGCGGTGCAGCGTATGAGCGGGCGGTGCAGCGTATGAGCGGGCGGTGCAGCGTATGAAAGGGCGGTGGCAGCGTATGAGCGGGCGGTGCAGCGTATGAGCGGGCGGTGCAGCGTATGAAAGGGCGGTGCAGCGTATGAGCGGGCGGTGCAGCGTATGAAAGGGCGGTGCAGCGTATGAGCGGGCGGTGCAGCGTATGAAAGGGCGGTGCAGCGTATGAGCGGGCGGTGCAGCGTATGAAAGGGCGGTGCAGCGTATGAGCGGGCGGTGCAGCGTATGAAAGGGCGGTGCAGCGTATGAGCGGGCGGTGCAGCGTATGAAAGGGCGGTGCAGCGTATGAGCGGGCGGTGCAGCGTATGAGCGGGCGGTGCAGCGTATGAGCGGGCGGTGCAGCGTATGAGCGGGCGGTGCAGCGTATGAGCGGGCGGTGCAGCGTATGAAAGGGGTGCAGCGTATGAGCGGGCGGTGCAGCGTATGAGCGGGCGGTGCAGCGTATGAGCGGGCGGTGCAGCGTATGAAAGGGCGGTGCAGCGTATGAGCGGGCGGTGCAGCGTATGAGCGGGCGGTGCAGCGTATGAGCGGGCGGTGCAGCGTATGAGCGGGCGGTGCAGCGTATGAGCGTGCAGTGGAGCGTATGAGCGGGCGGTGCAGCGTATGAGCGGGCGGTGCAGCGTATGAGCGTGCAGTGGAGCGTATGAGCGGGCGGTGCAGCGTATGAGCGGGCGGTGCAGCGTATGAAAGGGCGGTGCAGCGTATGAGCGGGCGGTGCAGCGTATGAAAGGGCGGTGCAGCGTATGAGCGGGCGGTGCAGCGTATGGAAGGGCGGTGCAGCGTATGAGCGGGCGGTGCAGCGTATGAAAGGGCGGTGCAGCGTATGAGCGGGCGGTGCAGCGTATGAGCGGGCGGTGCAGCGTATGAAAGGGGTGCAGCGTATGAGCGGGCGGTGCAGCGTATGAGCGGGCGGTGCAGCGTATGAAAGGGCGGTGCAGCGTATGAGCGGGCGGTGCAGCGTATGAGCGGGCGGTGCAGCGTATGAGCGGGCGGTGCAGCGTATGAAAGGGGTGCAGCGTATGAGCGGGCGGTGCAGCGTATGAGCGGGCGGTGCAGCGTATGAGCGGGCGGTGCAGCGTATGAAAGGGCGGTGCAGCGTATGAGCGGGCGGTGCAGCGTATGAGCGGGCGGTGCAGCGTATGAGCGGGCGGTGCAGCGTATGAGCGGGCGGTGCAGCGTATGAGCGTGCAGTGGAGCGTATGAGCGGGCGGTGCAGCGTATGAGCGGGCGGTGCAGCGTATGAGCGTGCAGTGGAGCGTATGAGCGGGCGGTGCAGCGTATGAGCGGGCGGTGCAGCGTATGAGCGGGCGGTGCAGCGTTTTTGGGCGGTGCAGCGTAAGAGCGGGCGGTGCAGCGTATGAGCGGGCGGTGCAGCGTATGAAAGGGCGGTGCAGCGTATGAGCGGGCGGTGCAGCGTATGAAAGGGCGGTGCAGCGTATGAGCGGGCGGTGCAGCGTATGAGCGGGCGGTGCAGCGTATGAGCGTGCAGTGGAGCGTATGAGCGGGCGGTGCAGCGTATGAGCGGGCGGTGCAGCGTATGAGCGTGCAGTGGAGCGTATGAGCGGGCGGTGCAGCGTATGAGCGGGCGGTGCAGCGTATGAGCGTGCAGTGGAGCGTATGAGCGGGCGGTGCAGCGTATGAGCGGGCGGTGCAGCGTATGAGCGGGCGGTGCAGCGTTTTTGGGGGCGGTGCAGCGTATGAGCGGGCGGTGCAGCGTATGAAAGGGCGGTGCAGCGTATGAGCGGGCGGTGCAGCGTATGAGCGGGCGGTGCAGCGTATGAGCGGGCGGTGCAGCGTATGAGCGGGCGGTGCAGCGTATGAAAGGGGTGCAGCGTATGAGCGGCGGTGCAGCGTATGAGCGGGCGGTGCAGCGTATGAAAGGGCGGTGCAGCGTATGAGCGGGCGGTGCAGCGTATGAAAGGGCGGTGCAGCGTATGAGCGGGCGGTGCAGCGTATGAAAGGGCGGTGCAGCGTATGAGCGGGCGGTGCAGCGTATGAAAGGGCGGTGCAGCGTATGAGCGGGCGGTGCAGCGTATGAGCGGGCGGTGCAGCGTATGAGCGGGCGGTGCAGCGTATGAGCGGGCGGTGCAGCGTATGAGCGGGCGGTGCAGCGTATGAGCGGGCGGTGCAGCGTATGAGCGGGCGGTGCAGCGTATGAAAGGGGTGCAGCGTATGAGCGGCGGTGCAGCGTATGAGCGGGCGGTGCAGCGTATGAAAGGGCGGTGCAGCGTATGAGCGGGCGGTGCAGCGTATGAGCGGGCGGTGCAGCGTATGAGCGGGCGGTGCAGCGTATGAGCGGGCGGTGCAGCGTATGAGCGGGCGGTGCAGCGTATGAGCGTGCAGTGGAGCGTATGAGCGGGCGGTGCAGCGTATGAGCGGGCGGTGCAGCGTATGAGCGTGCAGTGGAGCGTATGAGCGGGCGGTGCAGCGTATGAGCGGGCGGTGCAGCGTATGAGCGGGCGGTGCAGCGTTTTTGGGCGGTGCAGCGTAAGAGCGGGCGGTGCAGCGTATGAGCGGGCGGTGCAGCGTATGAAAGGGCGGTGCAGCGTATGAGCGGGCGGTGCAGCGTATGAGCGGGCGGTGCAGCGTATGAGCGGGCGGTGCAGCGTATGAGCGTGCAGTGGAGCGTATGAGCGGGCGGTGCAGCGTATGAGCGGGCGGTGCAGCGTATGAGCGGGCGGTGCAGCGTTTTTGGGCGGTGCAGCGTATGAGCGGGCGGTGCAGCGTATGAGCGGGCGGTGCAGCGTATGAGCGGGCGGTGCAGCGTATGAGCGGGCGGTGCAGCGTATGAGCGCGCAGTGCAGCGTATGAGCGTGCGGTGCAGCGTATGAGCGAGCAGTGCAGCGTATGAGCGTGGCCCTCCCTGCACCTCCATGTGCCACGTCTACCTGCACTCTTCGCACCCTGCCTCCCTGCCATGTTTCCGCCTCCATTTGTCTCCTGTCGCCCCGCACTCATCGCATCCCACCTCCCTGTTGCACCCGCACTGGTGCTCTCAGAGCAGCAACAGTCACCCTTGCACTCTGATCTGATGTGTACATTCGTCTGCCTACATGGCCATGCATGTGTGTGCATGCATGGGCATGCATGGGCATGCATGGGCATGCATGGGCATGCAGGCGGGGATCAAAGAGGTCATTTTCTTCTCAGACAAGCCACCCACTCGCAACCCCAAGGACATTGCATACGCTGCTTCCAGGAAACTGCTGGAGCTGGCAGGGGTGAAGGTACGCTCCACCCCACCTTCCACCAACCTTTCCTCTCCTCTCCTCTACTCTCTCTCCTCTCTCCTCTACTCTCCTCTCCTCTCCTCTCCTCTCCTCTCCTCTCCTCTCCTCTCCTCTCTCCTCTCCTCTCCTCTCCTCTCCTCTCCTCTCCTCTCCTCTCCTCTCCTCTCCTCTCCTCTCCACCCCTTGCTTTCAGCAGCCCTCCCCGCCATTGCCTGCTCGTGTTACCATGCCATCCGAATCTCCCCCATTCCATCCGAATCTCCCCCCATCCGCATCTCCCAACATACGCATCTCCCCCCATCCGCATCTCCCCCCATCCGCATCTCCCCCCATCCGCATCTCCCCCCATCCGCATCTCCCCCCATCCGCATCTCCCCCCATCCGCGTCTCCCCTCACCTTCATCTCTCTCACTACACTCGTGGCATCAGGTGTGGCAGCACCGCCCCCAACAGGATTCACTCACTCTTTCCTTCTCCTAGAAGCGGGGCCCGGTAGGCGTTCAGCAGTCCACTTTTGAGACATCTGAAAAGGCACGCGTGGCATCAGGTGTGGCAGCATCGCGCGCAGCAGACTTCACTCACCCTTTCTTTCACTTAAAAAGCCAAGCTGGGTTGGCGCTCACCGATCCAATCAGGTTCAGTTGTAGTCGCATTGTGTAGGAAAGTTATGTATTAACCTTGCAATGGATGTTGAAACTCTTGGTATCAGGGTCCATTCCTGAAAGCAGGCATCATCAGTGTTAATTCAATGGTAATTCAATCAAATAATGCACCTAATGAAGACATCCTGGCACCAATGTACCCTATTTTGGACGACGCTTTGTCATAGATGCTACTTTGTTTCAAGAACACCTAAGTTGTAACGGTGCCCTCATAAGCCATTCAGCTTAGAGACACTGATTGCTAACTTCTTGAAACAAACAATGTCACTAGTGTGTTTCGATTGGTCTGTAAAAAGGTCGTAGCGTTGTATTTGTATCACGGCGCATCACTGTAGCCTCGCCAAACAGCCCTGAACTCCTCTCTGTACGAGTTTAGCCGGGCTTTAAGATTGGGTGACCTGAATGTTGCATGCACCACCACCACTGGGACATGCGCAACAGGCAGAAGGGATGGGTGAGGGATGGGGGATGGGTTGACAACTTGAACAAAGCCAAGATGTATGGGGGTGGAACAAACACATACAATAAAGTTTCCCTGGTTACGAATTGTGGTACAAGGAAAGCAAACAAAGATGACACACCCATACCTGGCACTATTCACACATAAAATGACATAGATATATTTTAGCTAACACAAATGCTCTTTGGGCAACTCGGAACAAAGTCTAGCAGATGATACTGTGCCTGAGAGTCATAGGGCCGTGAATGGAGCATGTGTCCTGGGTTGACTCACATAGCACACTTGACGTGAAGGCAACAGCAAAGGTGACGTAGGCTCGTGACACATAGTTCAGCCATGCACTCACTGCAGGCAGCAAGCAGGTGGGGTAACAGAAGGAGGTGAGGTGGTACCGCAAGGTAGGTAAGGTGGGGGGGATGACGCACGTGGGGAGTAGGAGGGATGTGGGGAGGAACGAGAAGTCGGTGCAGAGTGGGAGATGCGTGTGAGTGTGTGTGAGTAGATGGTGAGAGTGTGAGTAGAGGGTGAGTGTGTGAGTAGAGTGTGTGAGTAGAGGGTGAGCGTGTGAGTAGAGTGTGTGAGTAGAGGGTGAGTGTGTGAGTAGAGTGTGTGAGTAGAGGGTGGGTGTGTGAGTAGAGTGAGTGAGAAGATGGTGCGAGTGAGAGAGGAGAGGGTGAGAGTGAGAGCAGGAGGCACGGTATGCCATGGCATGGCATGGCATGGCATGGCATGGCAGGGCAGGGCATGGCATGGCAGGGCACGGCACAGCACGTACAGAAGAGCAGCAGGAAGAGTGCGACTCGTCTGTCCTGCCCGCATATGTACACGGCGCCTCTCAACGGCCGCCCCCTCACTCCCGCTCGCCTGCACCAACACACAGGGCAAGGTACGCAATTTGGCGACCCAACAGGGGTGGGTGGGGATGGACATGGGGGAGAAGGGGAGCAATCGAGGAAGGAGTCGGGGAGGAGATGGGGATGGGGGAGCACATGGGGAGCACATGGGGAGCACATGGGGGAGCACATGGGGGAGCACATGGGGGAGCACATGGGAGCGGCTTACTGTTGCGGTGATCGCAGCTTGGCCGCCATGGGTTTTTTTTTTTTTATTAACTGATTTTGAGAATTCTCAAAATCAACCCTAAAAAAAACTTACTGTTGCGGTGGTCGCAGCTTGGCCGCCAGGGGCGGGGAGATCTTTCTGATGGCCCTCGTGAGCCGCTCGCTGAGTGACAGCGCAAAGCTGCGGTGAGGGGGAGGGGGGAGGGCGAAGATGGGCGAGGGAGAGTGGGGAGAGGGGATGGGAGATGGCGGAAGATGAGGTGACGAGGAAAGACGGAGGGGAATGGAGAGGGCAACCAGGAAAAGAGTTCCAAAAAGGCGTGGAAAGGGGTTGTAGACGGTGAGGGGGAAGGAGTGGACAGGGGTTGTAGACGGTGGAGAATGGGACAGCAAGGGGAGAAGAGTGGGAGGAGGATGGAGGGTGGGAGGGGCGGATGGGAGGGGAAGAAAAGGAGGGTGGGGGGGGATGGGAAGGAGTGGAGACGCAGATCGGAAGGCGGGGAGGACGGTGGGGAGAGAGAGGCGATGACGGGTCGAGAGAAGGGGGAGCAGAAATGGGGTTGCTCGGCGAGCCTCGTCACGCGTCCGTGGCAGCGAGCGCGACTGACCTGTCGTTGAGGCTGGCGAAGGCGACGGCGGCGAAGAGCACGGCGAATAGCGCGAGAGGGTTACGGGCGAAACAGCAGGCTGGCGGAAGCGCGGCGGGGGGAGCGCGAGAGAGGGGAGCAGAGGAAAGGTGGGGAGGGGAGGAGAGGGTATGGGACAACAGAGACAGGCGTGGCGGAATGCACAGCTATTATTCACCCATCGTCGAAAATCGCTGAGATTTTACGAGCGGCCATGTCGAAGGGCAAGCGGGCGGAGAATAAACAGCGGGACTGTGGGATTTGCGTAAGGAAGCTGTGCAACGAATCCGATGAAGAGCGCGCGGGCGGGCGGATCGTACCGTTGATGAAGCAGACGAGGATGTAGTAGTTGGTGCGATAGCTGCGCCACCCGCAAGAAGAAAACACGGGAAAGCGGGGACATCGGGAGTCAGGGAAAGACAGAAATTACGAATGGGAGAATAGACGCGACGACTCGAAACGCGTCGCGGAGAGGAGTGGGTTGACGGGCATGATTGTGATGGTCGATCATTGAGGCGCCTAAAAAATCGACGCATCTCATGAGGGGTGCGCTGATACGCATGTGACGGCACAGCAAAAAGACAGCAGGGGGCGACGGCGAAGACGAAGCTCTCGAGGCGACTCGAATGTCACGCAGAGTATTTTCCTTCATGAACCGGATCGTACCCAGGATCGACAGCACAGCTCGACATTCGAGAAAACTCAACGCGAACGTCGCACGGCTAACGAAACTCGCCAAACCAGAGCGGGTGAGACACCTACCCGACCACGGCAAAACAAACTAGCCAAGAGGAGTAGTGGGAGGACTGATACGCGTTATAGGGTAAGAACGAGCGCTCACTAGTACGCGTTGCACTTTAAGCGGCTGCGCCACTTGCTGGCGTTCTTGGGTGCGGAGAAGCGCTGCACGAACTCCGCGAGCGGGCGAGGCGGCGTGGACCACTCCACCTCGCGCAGCGCATCGAGCAGCTCCTCGCCCGTCACATTGCCCCAGTCCATACCGCACCGCGCCTCGGCCTTCCTGCTTCCCGCTGCTAGGTCTTACTCGTGTAGAGTGGACTCTACTGACAGTCTAGATTAGGTAAGAATGTATGTTTCATGCACGCCCAGGATAAGGCGTGCCTGCCGCTAACGCGATGCGATGCGATGTGGATCTACTCGTGCGTGCACATATTGCTAGTTGTCGCCAGAAAGTGCCGATCTGCGGTATGCTATTTTTATGTAAATAAATATGGTTAAAGTAGCAGTAAGACCACGTCGGTGTAGTTTAGTGGTTAGAATCCCACGTTGTGGCCGTGGAGACCTGGGCTCGAATCCCAGCACCGACAATTTTGCAGGGTCGCATGCCAATGAATCCCATTTTGTACTTTTTTGGAGCAATGCTCTGCTAGGGAACAAATGGCTCCAGCCGTATCTCACCAGCTGATTTTATTCTCTCCTGAAGTGCAATTCTCTGGAATGCATAGCCGTTTTTTTGGAAGGATACTACTGAAACGTGCATATGCCATATATTTTCTGGAGTGGTGCTTTGTACTTTGCGACATCATGCAACTTGGAAATGGGCATCTCAACGCACGCTGTGAGGATTTGGCTTTTACTGAATATTTTTGTATACGAATTGACATTCAGGCATGCTGAATGATAGCGCATAACAAATAAAGATGAGGAGGTAGACTGTGCATCACCTTTGTGTCAGAATGAAGAATGGATGATGCATTGATGTTGGTTGGGGTACATATAGCTAACCCTAAGTTTTGTACCCCCTAAGACAAACCTCACTATAGGCTACAACATTTGACACACCCCCATAGCCTAAGTGAGGGGTGTCTAGCAGAACCAAACGAGTACGGTCACAAGACCAGTCCAAGAAACGAAGCTCAGGGTGGATCACAACGTCACCACACAGTCTGAGCACAAACAACAGTGGCCACAAGGCCAGTCCAAGAAGTAACAGAGATATATAGAAAGCAAAGTAAACAGTACACTCAAGTCTAAGCAACACGAGAACCAGTGTCAACAAGGCCTAACTGCACACAGCACCTCTGGTGGTCACAAGGCGGAAGCGCCTTGGTGAAGATGTCTGCAGTGTTGGCCTCGGACTCCACAAACTCAAAGCGAGCCTGTCCACGCCTCTGCAACTCTCGCAGAAGAAAGTACCTGACGTGAATGTGCTTCACTCTGCTCTCCAGTCGTGGCTCTCGACAAAGGAGAATAGACGCCTTGTTGTCAGTGAACAAGGTCGGTGCAGAGCTCGGCCGCTCACCAAGGTCGGTGAGCAAGAAGGTCAACCAACGCAGCTCCTGTGCCGCCATGGCACCAGCGTAGATCTCAGCCTCAGCTGTAGAGGTCGAGACCGAAGAGGAGCGCGTGGACCGCCAGGAAACAGCTCCAGAACCCAGGCTGAAACAGTACCCCTGAGTAGACCTGTGAGTCTCAGCGTCGTCAGCGTAAGAGGAGTCACAGTGACCAGTAAGTACGACAGACTGCTGCCCTCCAAGAACTAGCCCCACGCCTGATGTCGTCGCTAGGTACTTCGCCACCCTCACAGCTGCTGTCCAGTGAACAGGACGGTGTCTCCCTGGCGCAACAAAGCGCGCAAGAACGCTGAGAGGGAAGGCGAGGTCCGGGCGAGTACAAGTCATCAGGTACATGAGGCAACCCACAAGCTCTGCGTAGGGACCACTAGGCTCGAACGGCTCGTCAGGAAAGGGTCCAGTGAGTCTGTGGTCAACAGCAAGAGGTGTGCGCTGTACTGTGGAGTGCTGAAGCCCGAACCGCTGAAGGACCTGCTGCACCATGTGCGACTGTGAAAGTGTAATGGTGCGAGCAGCTCTGTCCCTGGTGATCTGCAGGCCAAGGTAGTGGCGCAGCTCACCAAGATCAGTGCAGGTGTGTCTCTTCTGCAGTTCGGACTTCACGTGTGCCAAAGCAACCCTGTCAGGGGTGGCGAAAACAAGGTCGTCAACGTAGACCAGAACAAAGAAAGGTGTGGGGCCACGACGAACGAACAGCGACGGGTCAGCAGAAGACGGCTGGAACCCAAGGTCAGACAGGGTAGAACGCAGGGTGTCGTGCCACTCACGAGGAGCCTGACGAAGACCGTAAACCGGTCGCCTCAGCCTCCACTGGGTCCCAGGAGGGAAAGAGCCAGTGAAGGCAGAGGGACGACGCAACCAGACCTCCTCGTGAAGACTGCCCTGAAGGAAAGCAGTAGAGAAGTCGAGAGAGTGTAACTCGTAGTCTCTCTGTGCTGCTACGTGTAGTAACACCCGAAGAGTGGTCATCTTCGGGGTGGGCGCGAAGGTCTGAAAGAAGTCAACTCCCTCGCGCTGACTGAAACCTCTAGCCACGTAGCGCGCCTTGAAGACCGGAGGAGATCCCGGTGGCCGCTTCACCCTGTAGATCCACATGCCGTCGACTACGTTCGCCCCCGGAGGGGGAACCTCATCGACGTAGGTGCCTGTGGATCTGTAGGAGGCCATCTCTGCGTCCATGGCAGCTCTCCACTGAGAGGCCCAAGGCCCTGACACTGCCTCAGCGTAAGTGCGAGGAGTCGGAATGTCAAGGGCGTCGGGGTCACCCTCAGGGGCGAGGAGCATGGCACAGAGATGAGGGGAAGCGGCCGCCAGGAACTCTAGCTCAAACTGCCTGTCCTCTAGGGCGTCACAGCCAAGGGCAGACACACCCCCGACGGCCAGAGGACTGGAAGGAGGAGCAGCCACAAGAGCGGTGGCGAAGTCAAGGCGGCGGGTAGAGGCAAACTCAGTGACTGCAGCAGTAAGAGCGGACACAGAGGACAGAGAGGCACGAGGGTGGGTAACAAGAGAGGCGAGAACACGAGAGAGAACAGGACGGTACGTGCAGTAGTAGTCAGTGACAGGAGAAGGAAGCGACACAGTGAGGGCCGACTCAGGAGGAGACGGAAGCACAGACGGAGACGGACGAGGTGGACGAGAACAAAGGAAGGCTGTACGAAGGTCAGTGAAGGGAACAGGAGACGAGGGACGAGCACGAGGGGAGCGACGAGAGGCCCAAGTCTGAGAAGGAGGAGGAGACAACGAAGACTGAGAACGAGGGAAAACAGCGGGAGAGGGGTCAGGAGGAGGAAGCGGAGGACCAGAGACGGGAGGAGAGGGGGAGGAGGAAGGAGAGGGAGACGGGAGACCAAGGGTCCGAAGACCCGAGACAGGAGGAGGAGACGGCAGCAGCTGCTGCTGCTGCTGCTGCTGCGCTGCTGCTGCTCCAGCGGCTGCTGCCCCTGCTGCTGCTCCTGCTGCTGCTCCTGCTGCTGTCGCTCCTGCTCCTCGAGCCGCTGCAACTCTCTCTCCTCTCTCTCCAACTCCAGCTGCTCCTCACGAGCACGGCGAACACGAGCCTGGAACCTGGTCGGGTAGGGGTGGGGGGAAGGAGTAGTGTCCGGGGCAGCGGCAGCCCCAGAGTCGACCTCCGAAGCACCAAGCACACCACCCCCAGAGGCAGCACCAACACCAGCTCCAGACCCAGGCTCTCCAGAAACCGAAGGGACACCCTCACCCCCAGACGCAGCACCCCCAGACTCCGCACCAGCACCCCCAGACTCCGCACGACCAGTACCAGCCCCCGGAAGACAAGAGTCCTCTGCAACCCGCGGCTCAGCTCCAACTCCAGCACCCCCAGAACCAGAGACCTGTACAGGGACAGTCGCAGGACCAACCTCTCGAGAGGGAGCACCTGCAGGAGGCGGCGAGGAAGACTGTGGGGAGGGAGGCTGTACAGGGGGGGCTACCGAAGGGGGAGGGCTAGCCTGAGACACACCAGACGGGGCTGGACCAGGGGGGGGAGGCTGTACCGGGGGAGCAGGCGGGGGAGCGGCGGTCAGGAAGAGAGGGGGGGGAGGGACCGGGAGACCTCGACTGGGGTACCTGACGTAGTAGGGGGTGGACTCCTCGAAACGGACGTCACGGGAGTCAAAGAACCGGTGAGAGGGAGGGTGGTAAAAGGTGAAGTCAGAGGAGTCCTCAGGGAAACCAAGGAAGACACAAGGAACGGCGCGAGGCGAGAGCTTGTCCGCGGAGGTGTCGCGGACAAGAGCCAAGCACCCCCAGACACGAAACCTCGACGCGACACCAGGGGACCCTGTCCAAAGACTGGTCGGTGAAGCCTCCGGCCGAGAGACGCGTGGCCAGAGGTTCAGCTGGTGCGCGGCGTACCTGACCGCGTATGGCCACAGGAAATGGGGGGCACGGGCGTGAGTCAAGGAGGTGCGGGCAATCTCCATGACCAGGCCTATGCGACGCTCAGCAACCCCATTCTGCTGTGGGGACTCCGGAAGCGTCCAGGACTGACGAATGCCCTGTTCGCGACAGAATCCAGCGAGAATGCCGGAGCGAAACTCGCCCCCGCGGTCGGAGTGGAGACAGCTGACACGACGACCACGAGTGTCCTGGGTGGTAAGCAACCACCTGATCAGCGTAGAAGTCACCTCAGACTTCCTCGCCAAGGGGAACACTGTGGTGTAGCGGGAGTAGTCGTCAACGACCACCAAAAAGAAACGCTCACGCTCAGGGCCAGGGCGAGGAGAGGGGCCCCAGACGTCCAAGTGCAGCGTCTCAAAAGGCTCGGTGGCCGGACGAAGGGAGGAGGAGTGAGGGGTGGCGCGCAGCCTACCCTCGACGCAAGGACCGCACGGTGGTGCAAGGGACGGCGGCAGCGACGGCAAGACACGCGGGAGACCTAAGACAAGACGCTGACGAGACATAGCGCGAAGACGAGGAGGAGAAGGGTGCCCCAGCCGGTGGTGCCACAAAACGGTGGGGTGGGCAAGCGACCGACAGGAGCACGACGCAGCGACCGGACTAGACGGAGGAACCTGACAAGACACAGCTACCTGGGGGGACGGAGCAACCTGGTGAGACGCGAGGACTCGAACGGGGGGCAAAACAGGGGCCGGGGGCAGGAGGGGCGGCTGTGGCTGCGGCTGCGGCTGCTGCTGCTGCTGCTGCTGCGGCTGCTGCTGCTGC